TCCAAAATAAAACACCAGATGACTTTCCAGTAGAAGAAAAGGCACTAGAACTACCTGACAGGGAATTCAAATCTCTAATATTCAGAGCTATGCAAGATTTGAAGCAAAAAGCAGATGAAAATGAGGAAAAAATAGACAAATTCATATAAAAAGTAGACAAATTCACGGAAAATACAGACAAAAAAAAATGGAAGAACTCAGGAAAATAATGCAGGAACAAAATGCCAAACTAAATTCACAACTAGAAATCATACAAAAACAACAATTAGAAATCCAAAAGATAAACAAGAAGATTTCAGAAATGGACAGTATCACAGAAGGACTGAGGAGCAGGTCTGAAATGATGGAAGACAGGATCAGGGAAATTGAAGACAAATACTTGGATAAAACTTTGAGGAAAAATCAGAAAAAAGAACAAAGAAAAATGAAGAAACTCTGAGAATTATGTGGGATACAATCAAAAGTAAAAATCTGTGAGTGAGCAGAGTTCCAGAACAGGGGGAGAAAATGGAAAACACAGAGCGGATCGTTGAAGAATTGCTGACAGAAAACTTCCCTAATATCAAGAAAGATGAAAAGCTGACCATCCAAGAAGCTCAATGAACCCCATATAGGATACACCCCAAAAGAAAATCACCAAGGCATATCATAATCACACTCCCTAAAACCAAAGACAAACAAAGAATCCTAAGAGCAGCTCAAGGAAAATAAAAAGTCGCATACAGAAGACAAACAATAAGACTAAGCTCGGATTATTCAGCAGAAACCATGCAGGCAAGAAGGCAATGGCATGACATGTATAAAACCTTGAAAGAAAAAAATTGCCAGCCAAGAATAATATATCCTGCAAAACTGTCGTTCAAATATGATGGTGAAATTAGGACAATGCTAATGGATAGGTAGACTCAACACTGTAAAAATGACAATTCTACCCAAAGCCATCTAAAAATACAATGCAATCCTGATCCAAATATCGACAACACTCTTTAAAGAGATGGAAAAACTAATCATTAACTTTCTATGGAAAGGGAAGAAGCCTGAGATAAGTAAAGCACTATTGAAGAAGAAGAATAAAGTAGGAGGACTTGCACTACCTGACCTCAGAACCTACTATATAGCTACGATAGTCAGAACAGCCTGGTACTGGAACAACGACAGATACACTGACCAATGGAACAGAATTGAGAACCTAGATGTAAATCCATCCACCTACAGTCACCCGATCTTCGACAAGGGCCCAAAGTCTATCAAATGGGAAACAGACAGTCTTTTTAACAAATGGTGCTGGCAAAACTGGAAGTCCATCTGCAAAAAAATGAAACAGAATCCATACCTCAAACCATACACAAAAACTAATTCAAAATGGATCAAAGACCTAAACATAAAACCAAAAACTATAAAGATCATAGAAGAAAAAACAAGATCAACACTAGAGACCCTAATACATGGCATTAACAGGATACAAACCATAACCAACAACATATAAACTCCAGAAGATAAGCTAGATAACTGAATCTTCTAAAAATTAAACACTTAAGCTCATCAAAAGACTTCACCGAAACAGTAAAAAGAGAACCTACAGACTGGGAAAAAAATTTGACTATGACAAATCCAACAAAGGTCTAATCTCTAAAATCTGCTGGAAAATCTAACACCTCTACAACAAAAAGACAAATAATCCAATTAAACACATGGGCAAAGGAAATGAACAGACACTTCACCAAAAGAAGGCATTCAAGAGGCCAACAGACACATGAAGAAATGCTCGAGATCACTAACCATTAGAGAAATGCAAATCAAAACCACAATGAGCAACCATCTCATCCCGGCATTACTGGCAGGTATCAAAAAAACAGAAAATAACCAATGCTGGAGAGGCTGCAGGGAGATTGGAACTCTTATGCACTGCTGGTGGGAATGGAAAATGGTACAACCATTTTGTAAAACAATACAGTGCTTCCTTAGAAATTTAGAAATAGAAATACTATATGAACCAGCAATGCCACTCCTAGGAATATATCCTAGAGAAATAAGAGCTGTCACACGAATAGACATATGCACACCCATGTTCACTGCAGCATTCTTCACAAAAATGGGGAGATAAAACAAATGGATGAGAAAAAGACCAGCAAAGAAAGAAAAGCATATACTCTGCCTTAGACCTTTCAAAGTGTATGTGTGTGTGTGTGTGTGTGTAATATTATTTGCCTCATTTGTGCATATGGCACTATGATAAGGTAGAATTCCTTAAACTGGCAGCCGAAAATCCCTGGGGCTCTTCAGCAGTGTTCTCAGGGGTTCCAAGTTCTAAAAGAGAATGTTTAAAGCTTGCAGTGAATTTCAATGGCACTGTCTTTAATTGTATAAGCAGACCCCACTCAGCTGAATGGCCACCTCTTCAGCACAAGCTGCACAAGATCTGCTCCATTTGGGCCTGTGTTTACCGTCCTGCCTGTGCCACATGAAGGTCAAGGGGTGCCCTGTGTGCTGTGTGGTGAAGGCCTACCGTGGTCTAAGTAAGAAAAAGCAGTGGAAGGCCCGGGTCGCCACTGGCCGGATCACAGTGGCGCCGGCCTGTGTCTGTCCCCAGTGCAGATCACTGCCTGGGCTCTGATGTGTTTTCTTTTTCACAGCCTGCACTCTCCTTGCATGATCTCGTTCACATCCACAGCTTTAATGCCACCACTAATGCTTTTAAATTGTTAGCTTCAGGCTAAACTTCTCTCCTAAGCTCCAGGTCCACATTTCTCAAAGTCTATTTGTCACCTCCAACATATCTGGAACTGATAGCATCTTTTCTGACAACTTTTCGCCAACTTTCAGATTTCTGTTAATCACACAACCATATATGTTCACTCAAATCAGTACTTCACCTTCCTTAGCTACATAACCAAATGTGGGGTTAACATGTCTTTATCTTCTAGTATCTCTCAGCTCTACTCCCTAGTCTTCGTCTGACAGCCACTCTCATCTAAAACGAATCGGTTGCTGTCAAGTCGTCTCCGACTCATAGCACCCTCATGTGTGTCACAGTAGAACTGTGCTCCACAGGGTTTTCCACAGCTGATATTTTGGAAACAGGCAGGCCAGGCCTTTCTTCCAAGGTACCTCTGGGTGGACTCAAACCTCCAACCTTTTGGTTAGCAGTGAGTGCATTAACCGTTTACACCACAGGGACTCTCATCTAGATCACTGCTGTTTGTTCCCACTGATCTGCCTCCAGTCCTTTTTCTCAAGTCCAGTCACTATACTACTTTAAGAGAGATTTTTTTTTTAATGCCAATCTGACCATGTCATTCCTGGGCTTCCTTCAGTGTTTCCCGAGAGTAAGGCTGTGTCCCTGCCTCTACCTCTCCTGAAAATGCTTCAGTGGAGGCCAGTCTTAGACCCAAGAGTGAACTAGAGAAAGCCTAGAGGCTGGTGCACAGCTGGCAGAGCCAGGGTTTCTCCCCAGCCGTGCCTCCCTCCCTCACCTGGCACATCCCCCACCCACAGGAGCATAAGGGGTGGGAAGCCAGGCAGTGGCACTGGTGGGATACCAGTGGGTTGACCCAAGGGGAAGAGCTGTCTGTGCTTAGCTCAAAATGGTTGAGAAAGATCTCGAGCAGGCTACGGTATGGAGTCACACTCATGGACGTACACCAGAGACCTGCATCCTTCCGGCTCACATCTTCCTTTCTTTTGACTGCCTCTTTTCCTAGCCCAGCAGCATCTTTCTGTGCAAAGTATTGAGCCTGCTGTTTTCAAATGGAATGGCAATTATTATAAACCTGGTCCTGTACTGCAATCATTGGCTTTGCCTGGCCACTCTACCAAGACGTGGGCTCTGTGAGTACATGGCACACGTCTAGGCAATCTCTCGTAAATGGATAAGCAAACTCCTAATGCACTCCATAGCATCTCCATTCTAGTATTTATCCCACTCTGCCATTGTTTTGAATTCCCTGTTTGTTTCACCCACTTGAAACAGTTCCTGAAGGGCATGGACGCTACAGCATCTTCTTCTGAATCCCAAAGGCCTGGCATACAGTGAATGCTGAATAAAGCAGTAAAGAGGGTGCAGGGAGGCAGAGAAAAGACTAGAGGACAGATGCAGCAGTCAGGTGCCCCATCCACCCCGAGATGAGGGATGGGCCCAGGCATGAGAAGGGAGGTGATGGACAGGGTGAGAGGAGAGCCTGGAGTCCCTTACACACAACTGATAACCAGCAGCAGCTTGGACACACTCTGTAGGTGGAAACCACTGGGGGTGTCCTCAGGGATGTGCCGTGTCTGCGTGGAACCTGTGAGGAGAACAAAGAGGCCATCACCACTGAGGTCCACGAGTCTACAACTACTGACATGACACTGGCCACACAGAAAATGTTGGGAAATGACCAAGACACTGCTCCTGTCACAGCACCACTATGATAGACACTTCAACCCTCCAAAAGCGGATGGTAAGCTCCTTGAGGACAAGGCTGTGTCAGGCAAGGTGAACATCAAAGAGTCACTGGAAAATGATAAAATCAACAGACCTATGTAGCTAGGACAAACAGATGTGGGCCAGAGTGATCTGCGCCTGTGCAAGGGCAGGTAGCACTGGGCTAGGACAAGAGAGCCAGTGTCCAGCTCTGGCTTTACCCATAACCAGCTATGCAAAGTCAGGCAAATCACTTAGCCTCTGTGAAAGCTAGTTTTCTCTCATGTATGAAAAGGGGGCTGGATGGAACCCTTTATTCAAATGCATATGGCAAACACCTCACATGGCAGTGTTCTGGCTGAAGTTGGGTAAGGGGCACAGAAGCTGGCACGCTCCTCCTCCCTCCTCCCCATCCTCATTCAGCTCAAAGGAGCCCCCAGGGATGTGCAGTTCCCAGTCTGAAAAACACTGCATTTGCTGGTCTTTAAGGTCCCTTTCAGTACCCACAAGTGAGCAAAGCCACGACTAAAACATAACACGCTTATGTCTCACACAAGGGAGGAGATTCTGAAGGACTGGTTGGGGAGAGAATGAAATAGCAAGGGAGCCCACTGCCTGGTGGGCCCATGGGGCCAGGGGAGGTGGGGCTGCCTTGGACCTCCTGACCTTTGTGTTATGAGGTAGTCTCTGGGGTCTGGGCTTAGGCTTCTCCGTGGCGCATTTCCCAAGAACCTGGAAGATGCATACCTGAACCTATGCAGGGAGCCACGGAGTGTGGGCAACACGGAGCGATGACCCCAAAGGCTCTGCAGTAGAGCACACACACAGTCTAGCAGGGGCTAGGGAACTTAAAAGGTAAAGGGAAGCAGGTAGAGCATCAAGGAGGGGTGGGGGTCTCAGATTTAATGAGGCATATGCAAATTATATCAAACCATACCCTAGGTGAAAAATGAGTGTACATGTGTGTGCTGTGGCACAGGTATGAAGTTCCAGGCCAGAGCCCTGACCCATCTCCACCTGGCACACACCTGCCACATGCTTGATCCTGTGGCCCACTTCTTCATCAGTGGGTGTGGTGACAGGGCTCATCACCTCTTCCAGGTGAGGTACCCGCAGGTGGGCATGGGGACGTTTCCTCCTCCGTACTGTCGGGGGCTTGCTGGCCTTCTCCTTGGGAGACTGTCTGTGCATCTCAGCCAAGTAGGTGCTCTCTGTTTTTGTCAGCTCACTCTCTGTTGGAGCCAACAGGGTCATATCAGAGGCCGTCATTCCATACCTACAACCCAATGTGTTGGCCTTCAGAGGCAATGCTCTCTGCTCTCACCAAGCCCTCTAAGGGAAACATTTTCCCACACAGTGCTCTGGGAAATTGGCGGGGAGGGCAGAGATCCCTCAGCAATGCCCATGAGCCTCGGGAAGTCCTTCTGGGACCCAGCCCAGCCCCTTCTCTGGGTTGTTCAACATTGTGTACAGCCATACATTCCCAAGATCTGCACCCTTGTGTATACAATTTGGAATATAACACACACTTCCTAACAGATGCATTCACAGGCAATTTGCAGATTCTTCCTATAATAGATTCAACACCATTATCACGCAATCTGTGGTTCTTAAGGTTTTTTGGGGAGTCACAGATCCTTAATGCTTCTCATAAAAGCTACAGACATATTCTCTAGAAAAATGTACACGTTCACATATACCCCAGATTTTGTATCTATTTCTGGGGGAGACTTAGGGATCCTATGAAACCAACTCAATGTCTCGGTTTCTCTCCCCACTCTCCACGTCGCCCCTTCCCCTGAAGGGTAACAGCTCTACAGTTCACCATTTCTCCAGTTCTACCAGCAGTGATGATTGTAGTGCCCACCTAAATGGCGGAAGTAGTCCTCTAGCCCACTCCAGAAGTTCTTCTCGATGAAAGTTTTCACTAACCCCCAAGGCTGTTTTCGATAGCGCAGCTCTGTGGAGACCCTGAGGAACAAGCCAGAAACAAGATGAGTCATTTCCTGGGCAGGACTCTCTTCTGCTGGGAAATGAGAGATTTGGGTTTAAGGCCAAAACACCTTCCTATGTGTACTGCACTTTGCAGGCTAAAAAGTCCTTTCATACCCATAATACCACCTGATCTCCCTGGCCACTCTTTGAGTTTGTTAGAGCTAGTGGGTTTATCCCCATTTCACATATAAGAAAACAGGTTTAGAGTATTCCAGCAGACCAGAGGCTAACAGCAAGGGCTTCTGATTTCAGGAAAAGAGTTCTTCTCATGATACCTCACTGACTCCTCCCAGGAGGGCTCCAGATGGTCCATGCAGCCTGCCAGCCAGCCAAGAGAAGGCTCTTGACACTAAAAGGAAAGTAACATGGCCCATCCTTTCGGCAGGGTCCCTCTCTCCTTCTCCAGAGACTATTTAAGTCTGAGCAGGTCTAGGGTTTCATCACTTTCACATTTAAGAGTGTCTTTTGCTGTCCACTCTGGCTCCTGCCTCTCCACCATACCCAAAACTTTGCCAGCTCTTACTCTTTTCCAAGTATTCTCTCCCCCAACCACTGGTCTCTCTAGTGCCCATGTCTTGCTGTCTCAGCTCCTTCCTCTTCTATGCAGCAGGCCTCCTCTTTACCTCCTCCTTAGGTTCATCTGCACTTCACTTGCAATTTACACTCCCCATGGAGGCTGCCTGCCCTGCCCTCACCCCATCCTCCACCCATGGACTTTTTGATGTGTGTCTATACTTGGAGCCACCTCCCTTTCCCACTCAACAACTGTCTACTGGACCGAGGGTCTATCTGAGGTCAGCCAGCTACCTAGATGTTGACTAGACAGAAAAATCAAGCAATTGGAAGACTCTCCTAGGAATCTGAAATTGAGAAACCTAGAGAGTGTGGGGAAAAGGGTAGGGGAGATTGGAGGGAGGAGAGAAAGAAGAAGGGAAAGGCGAGGGAGGAGTAGGGGAGCAGAGAGCAGCACAGAACACAAAACAATCAAGATGAGGGTGAGAAAGACACAGCCCTTTTTGAGGTGTGGGTAGTCAGCTCTCCCTGATTCCTGAGGGATCTCTCTGTAGCCTTTCACTAAACTCCCATTTTGTTTGAACAACTTGAATCAACTTCTCCTTACAACCTAAAGACCTTGGCCTAAAATTCAGCTATACAATCTGATTCTTTTCAAATGGGTGTATGCTTTGATTTTTAATTGGGCATGTACATCTTAAGATCTGGGTCTAAAGTTCTTCCTTCCTTGGAATGGACATCATAGTACCAGACAGGACTCTACCACCAGAATTATTATCATTATGTATTCCATCAGCACGGTCGGGACGTTACTACGTGCAGGCACTGTGCAGGGGGCTGGGAATAGAGTGATGAATGAGTGTGACTCCTGCCCCCAGTGAGCTCAGTCTAACAGGGGAGACGAACAGTAAACCGCAGGACAGCGTGGCATGCTGGGACGAGCACAGGTGTGTGTTAAGTCTGGGCTCAGACTTACTAAGAGCACGTCTCTGGGCAAATTAACTCACATGAGCCTCAGCTTTCTTACTTGAAAAATGAGGAGAAAATCTACCTCACTAGGTCACCGTAAAGATTCCAGTTAATATAGGTAAAGCACCTATGCAGTACTTTATAAACCACAGACAATCAGTGAAGAGAAGTAGTTACAGAAGTTTTATAAAGAGGTGTACAGAGTAAAAAAGGGAGAATAAAGTACTATGTCAGGACAGGGAGGTGAGGTGGGGGCGTCTCAGAGGCTTCAGAGAGAAGGTAGAATAAAGAATGAGTCGGCAGCAGAATATACCCAACTCCCTTCTTCCCTGCAGGAGCAAATGAATGTTCTCCACTGCGAAGCCCCCTGGTCCCACTCGCACCCAGAATGTCACTGCACCCACCCAAGTTCTTCAGATGTCACACCTGAGCCGACTCTTGTTCCGAGCCACACGGGTGAGAGTGTAGCGATTGATGGTGTAGAAATAGTCGTGGTATGGCACGTCGTGGGTGAGGACTTCGGCGTCAATCACGTAACATTCGCTCTCTTGGCTCGCCTTATACATGGTCTGTGGGGAGGAAAGGTCCAGACAAACTGAAGATAAGCAAAACAGGAAAACCACCTCCTTCTCCAACCTCCCCAGCTCTCCAACCACCCTACTGCACAGCTTCTGAGTGGAAGACTCCAGAATGATTGGAAATGGCAGCATCTGAGCATGCAGGATGCGACCATTTCAGTGCCAAACCACACCTGCATCCAGAGACTTCTTTGTAGCCTCTATCCTTAATTCTTCCCAGGAGAGGAGAGGACGTTCCAGCCTGCTTACTTAGCCCTGCCCCGAACTCACCTGTGTTTCCCTGACAGTGGCCGTTTTGGGAGCCAGCGGGTTGGTAAGGGTGATGGTGTAAAGAATCACTCGGCTCTGGTTTCCATTCTCCTCTTTTTTCCATGGGTGGAAGATGATATCTGAGGGTAGAGGGGGGACCTGGGATGAGGGTGGGAAAGAAGCACCCCCCAGTCTGAATTTCCCCACCAAGTGAACTTCTCCTGACTGTTCTGACTGCCGACTGGCCCTCAAAAGCAAGCCAATGAGAGCCCAAGAGCCAGGGGAGGGAAAGCACTGAGCGGCTTCATCTGCTCCACGAAGCGAACGAGGGCAGGGGAATGGGGTGGTCAGAGGGGGAATCAAAGCAGAAAGAGGCTCATTGTAGCACTGCCGAAATTCTACACAGGGCTCCAGAATGCTGATTGTTCCAGGGCTGGGGCAGGAGGTCTCAGGGCCACCTACGGGGTTCTGGCAACACTGGAGTCACTGTGATGAGGGCCTGAGATCCCTAGGGAACAAGTCTTCTCTTCTAAGGCATGACCTCCCCATGCCCTCCGCACATCTTCTCTGGGCAGAGGGGCACGCTGGTGCCCAACTGTTTTCTCATACAGCAGGGAACTTAACAGTTCTGCTGGGCCAGAGCCGCAGCCTCTGCTGGGGGCAGGACAGGGGTGAGGCAGGAGCACGGAGGGTTGGAGCACCAACTCACAGCTTTGAATCTTAGCTCCCCCAACCTTCCAAGCTGTATGATCCTGGACGAGTAAGAATGGTTGCTCTGAGTTTCAGTGTCCTCATCCATGGGGATCACACTACCACCATGCAGGGCAGTCGTTAAAATTGAATCAAGTAATGTAACAAATTTGGCATATAAGGGGTGCCTACTCGTAAGTAAGGGGGCACTGGTGATTCAGGGGTAGAATTCTCATCTTCCCTGCAGGAGACCTGAGTTCGATTCCTCACCAATGCACCTCATGTTCAGCCACCACCCATCTGTCAGTAGAGGCTTGCATGTTGCTCTGATGCTGAACAGGGTTCAGTGGAGCTTCTAGACTAAGATGAACTAGGAGCAAAGGCCTGGTGATCTACTTCTGAAAATCAACCAGTGAAAACCCTATGGATCACAATGGTCGGATCCACAACTGATCATGGGGATGGTACAGGACCAGGCAGCGTTTCATTCCTTGTGCATGGGGACACCATGAGTGAGGGGCCACCTTGACAGCAGCCAACAACAAGAACTAGTAAGTAGTAGCTGCTCTTTACTGGACGGAGGTCTCTGTAAGGCCAGGAATTGGGCAGGGCTTATTCATGGAGAGTCTTTAGGGCATAAGAGTCAAGCAGTGACATTGCATTTGTGGACAGAGCAGGCCAGCAGGACTCTGTGGGGGCTCCAGGCCTGGGTAAGGCAGAGAAAGGGTACCATGTGCCCAGCAGGGGGCCTGAAAAAGGAGGGCGTTTGGGAAGAAGGGAAGAACGGGGTGGGGGGCGGAAATACAGTGAGGGGAGAGGTGTGGGCAGAGTGGGAAGGGGCAAGGGGGATGGCCTTGCCCAGAACGGACCAGAGAAGCGCCGCTGCTCCATGAAGTCCCTCTGGAAGGGGGAGTCGGTGAAGAGGAGGTCATAGAGCTTGTCCACGCTGAAGTTGAAGACGTCATTCACATACTGCCGGCCACTCAGGTCCTCGTAAAAGGCCTGGACCTCTCCTGCAGGGAAGAGAGAAGCAGGAAGTAGGATAGCGAAGGCAGAAGGACAGGTGAGCCCGGGCCAGCCCCCAGAGCACGGTGCCTTGTTGGCTAATGTGGGAATGGTGGCCAAGGGCAGAGCTAGGCTGTGGAGTGGGCGGGCTGGGCTTGTGAGCACCACTCCTCATGATTTGTTCCAGGCTCTGTCCTTCTGGGGGAGGGGGGCACACTGTTCACTCTGGTTGGCATTCTGTTCATTCACTCTGTATAAAGAGTTCGGGTTCGGGGTGTACCATTTTCTTTTACACTCTCAAACCTTCCCAATTAAGTTGATCATACACTAAAATTCAAATGAATGACTAATTCCTGAGTCTGCCTGAACTCAAAGCACCTGTTATCAAGAGCCTAAGTTAGCCCTAATTGACAACAAATGGCATAGGTGTCTTCGAGGGATACTGGCTAATCTATAATACTGTTAATACAAAAGCTTCTAGACCCAGTGGGCTGTGTCCTTAAGAGCACAGGTCTGTTCTCCTTCCATAAGACAGCTATCTCCCTCATCGTTTCAATAACCTTTCATTTTCTGAATTGTTCTATCTGCTGCAGGAGAGTATGTAGGTGCACTGCCCGAAGGCTCTTCCCAGGTCTCAGCACCCCACTGTCCCTATCACTGCCCCTGCACGGGCTGGTATAGGGTCTCAACCAGGACACTGGCATTCCTGGCACCCCTAGGACCCTGAGAAGACCAAGAAAGAACTCAGAAGTATCCTGCAGGGCCAGTGGCTACAACTGACAGACTGACAGGTGGGGCATTGTACAAGTGCAGTGGGGGAATATTCACATCTTAGTTTCTGTGAAAGGCACCTCCCATTATGCGGTATCCAAGCTGTGCAACCATTTGCACTGGCACAGGATCCTGGATGGGGGTTGGGAAATGAACCGAAGGTCACAAGACCACTACAGGTGACCCACAGGAGAGAATGTCTGCAAATGAGTAAGTGAGCACTGTCTACATATACTCACTAGCCATTACCTATCACCAATTCTATGGAGGTAAACCATTAACCAATATAATGAACACTCTGAGAATGTGGTTTCTTTTCATGGAATGCAAGAAGCAGCACTGTCCCGAGTGAGGTCCTAGAAGTTGACCCTATGTAAGGGGGGAAATAAGAAGCTCTCTACTTAGAATTATTAGAGAGAAGTTGAGTCTTCAGTGTCTATCTGACCCAGGTACACCTTTTCTTCCAGCCTGGTCTACAAGCCCCACAAAGGAGTCACTAGTTGGTTTTGCAGCCATCTTGAGGAAGCTTCCGTTAAAATCTAATTATCCGGAGAGCAGCTGACTGGCACTTTCCCTGTGGCACATAACACTGCCTTGTCTTGCATCTCTGTGAGGGACAGAGATGTGAGACAAGCTAATGTCACAGGGGGTACACTTAGGGATGAGACTGCATGGCAGGACAAGGCATTAGCTGTTGAGCAATGAAAGACAACAAACACAGAATGATGATGACCCCGCATGTGAGTACCTGCAAAAAGGGATGTATGCTAATTAACAAAATGTACCTTTTTAAAAAATCTGTTACCCACCCTTACACCAGGAACCTAGAGACCAGTCTCCGTGCACAGATATCTTTATAGCTTTCAAATGGAGAGAGGAAGGGCCACTCTATGCCCATTTTCAAACTCCTACCTTCATCATGGGTGTCAGAAGAGTCACTGAGCTCAGTAGGGATGTCCTCATTGTCATTAAAGTCCAAGGAAGGGGAGTTCACTGGGGCGATGATCTCAATCTTCTCCGCTATGATGTTGTCAATGGCGAGCTCTCTCTCCAGGGGCCTGTCGCTCTCCAGCACCTCCTCCTCCAGGGGAAGGCCATCAAACTGGAGTGGAGACAGAGGAGTCACCTAATAGGGACAACTTGATTTGGATCTAGTCTCCAAAGGGAGATTAGGGAGGACCTGGCCTTGGAAATCCTTACATTTAAAACACAGCTGTTTAGGAGCTGGGCTGGGAGTCAGTTCTGCCATGGAAGACGTGCCCTTCTCATGCTCACCCTTAAAACAGCACATCAAGCCTCACAAGTGGACAGTGGGAACCGTCAGTCACACCTCCTATCCTGAAGCCCATACCTCCACTATGGTATAACAATGTCACCCTGCCTCTAGGTAGTACATTTTTTTCCCAAGAAGCTCAAAAGGCTTCATAAGCATTTCTTGATTCATTCTCCCATTTATCACAGGAAGGGAACAGATACAATTCTTTTTATTTTAAAGCTAATGTAGAGGCAGAAAATGGAGACTAGGAATGAAATGAATAATGTTTTCATTCTAAGACCAGGTGGTCTGATTCCGAAACCACTGGAATACAAGGCTGCCTTTTCTGAGACTCTTCTCCAGAGGAACCCCACCTATTCTACCTGCCAGCACATACCCTGATCCTCTTCCTTCATTAAGTTTTAGCTCCTCTATTATGAAGTTCCAGAGGACAGAGATTCTTTTTACATATTTTAGATCTTTCAAAAAGTCTAGCACAGTAGGAAAATAAATCAGAATGTATATACTAGGAACTCAATAACTCTAAACTGAATGAGTGAATAAACAAATAATTGATCATTCTGTTGTTGTTGTTAGGTGTTGACCAGCTGGTTCTGACTCACAGTGACCCTATGTATAACAGAACTGCCTGGTTCTGTGCCATCCTCACAATCGTTGCTATGTTTGAGTCCATTGTTGCAATGACTGTGTCAATCCATCATATTGATGATCTTCCTCTTTTTTGTTGACCCTCTACTTTACCAAGCATGATGTCCTACTCCAGGGACTGGTCCCTCCTGATAACAAGTCCAAGGTATGTGAGACATAGTCTTGCCATCCTTGCTTCTAAAGAGCATCAATTCTTCTCTGATCTTCGTTATTCATTGTCCAGCTTTTGCATGCATGTGAGGTGACTAAAAATACCATGGCTTGGGTCAGGCACACCTTAGTCCTCCAAGTGACATATTTGCTTTTTAACACGTTAAAGAGGTCTTTTGCAGCAATGTGGTTTGACTTCTTGACTGCTGCTTCCATGGGCACTGATTATATATCCAAGCAAAGTGAAATCCTTGAAATTTCAGTATTTCCTTCGTTAATCATGATGTTGCTTATTGGTCCAGTTGTGAGGATTTCTGTCCTATAGTTCTGTATTTATGTACAACTTTGACTTTAGATCAAGGAGGTAAAAAAAAGACCTGGAATAGTTCCCCACTATAGGGGCTGTTGTTGTTGTTGTTGTTAGGTGTCCTCAAGTCAGTTCCAACTCATAGCAACCCCATGTACAACAGAAAGAAACACTGCCTGGTCCTGCGCCATCCCAACAATTGTTGATATGTTTGAGCCTATTGCTGCAGCCACTGTGTCAATCCATTTCATTGAGGGTCTTCCTCTTTTTCGCTGGCCTGTACTTTCCCAAGCATGATGTCCTCCTTATCAAGGGACTGATCCCTCCTGATAACAAGTCCAAAGTATGTGAGACACAGTCTCGCCATCCTTGCTTCTAAGGAGCATTCTGCTTGTATTTCTTCCAAGACAGATTTGTTTTTTCTTTCAGCAGTCCATAGTATATTCAATATTCTTCGCCAACACTACAATTCAAAGGCGTCAATTCTTTGGTCTTTCTTAGTCATCATCCAGCTTTTGCATGCATATGAGGCGATTAAAAACACCATGGCTTGGTCAAGCTCATCTTACTCTTCAAGGTGACATCTTTGCTTTTCAACACTTTAAAGAGGTCTTCTGCAGCAGATTTGCTATAGGGGCTATGATGGTTAATTTTATGCGTCAACTTGGTTAGGCTCTGGGACCCAGTTGTTTGGTTAAACACTAGTCCAGATGCTGTTATGAAGTAGTTACATGTGGTTAAATCAGTTGGCTTTAATAAAGCAGACTGCCTTCCATAATATTGGTGGGCCTTACCCAATCAGTTGAAGGCCTTAAGAGTAAAATAGGGAGTTTTCCCTAGAGTGCATTCTGCCTTCAGGCTATAAACAGACATTATGTCAGAACTCCTCTACTCTTCATTCTTGCAATCACCTGACCTACGGATTTGGGGATGCTAGCCTGCAGGAACATCCAGCCTGTGGCCTGACCTACAGATTTTGGACTTGTCAGCCCCCATAATCACATGACCCAATTCCTTAAAATCAATCAGTCAATCTCTCTAACTTTTCTATGTTGTTGTCTTGTGCTGTTGAGCTGATTCTGACTCATGGCAAGCTCATGTGTTACAGAGTAGAACTACTCAATAGAGCTTTTTTTTTCTTACATTTTATTTATTTTGTAGTTGTTGCTGAGAATATACACAGCAAAACATACACCAATTCAACAGTTTCTACACGTACAATGTAGTGACTTGTTGTGCAACCATCCTCACCTATTCTGAGTTGTTTCACCCTCATTAACATAAACTCACTGACCCATAAGGTTCTTATCTAATCTTTTTAGTTGCTGTTGTTGCTTTGATCCCATACAGATAGTTCTTAAAAGAACATAATGCTCAAGGCAGACCCTTTTTGCTAGTTAACCTAGACTATTACTAGGTTTTAAGATGACTTCAGGGGATGTTTAAAGATTATCTCAGGGCAACAGTTTCAGGGGTTCATTCACCCTCTGTGGCTCCAGAAAGTCTAGAGTCCATGAGAATTTTAAATTGTGTTCTATATTTTCCCCCTTTTGAACAGGATTCTTCTATGGAATCATTGATCAAAATGTTCAGTAATGGTAGCTGGGCACCATTCAGTTCTTCTGGTCTGATGGCAAAGGAGGCAGTTATTCATGGAGGCAATTAACCACGCATTCCATTTCCTCTAGCTCTGTTGCTCCCGGTGAATAGAGACCAATTGTTGTGCCTTGGATGGCCACTTGCAAGCTTTTAAGACTCCAGGCACTACTGCAACAAACTAGGAGGTAGAACAGAATACTAAACACATTATTAGGCCAATTAACTGGGATGTCCCATGAAAACACGACCCTAAACCTCCAAACCAAGGAACCAAATCCCATGAGGTGTTTGGTTGTACATAAGCAGCCTCAGCAGCTACTCTTTTGTTGTTACTGTTGCTGTATATATGTCTATCACACTTCTGCCAATTCAACTATTTACAGGTGTACAACTTATTGACTGCAATTACAATAATCAGCTGTGCAACCCTACCCTTAATCAATGTAATTTCTCCATTGTCATTAACCCCTTTCCCCCTCCCTCCCAGCCCTGGTAACCACTAATATACTTTGATCTCTGTACATTTGCCTTTTCTTGTATTTTTATGTAAGTGAGGTCCTACAATATTTGTCCTTTTGTGATTGACTTATTTCACTTAGCATAATGCCTTCCACCTCCATTCATACTGTGGCATGTATCAAGACTTCATTTCTCCTACTGGCTGAGTAGTTTCATTGTATGTATTTATCACATTTTGTTTATCCATTCATCCACTGATGGGCATTTAGGTTGTTTCTACCTTTTGGCTATTGTGAATAGTGCTGCAATGAACAATGGTGTACAAGCTCTTTTCGAGTCTCTGCTTTCAAGTCTTTTGGGAGTGGAATTGCTGGGTCATATTTTTAGTTTTCTACAATGGCTGCACCATTTTGTATTCCCACCAGCAATGGATAATGGTTCCAACTTCCCCACATCCTCACCAACATTTGTTGTTTTCTGTTTTTTTTAAATCTTAGCCATCCTAGTGGGAGTGAAATTGTATCTCATTGTGGTTTTGATTTGCATCTCTCTGATGGTTAATGATGCCGAGCATCTTTTCATGTGTTTGGTGGCCACCTGAATGTCTTCTTTGGTGAAATGTCTATTCGAGTCCTTTGTCCATTTTATGAGAGGGTTATTTGCCTTTTTGTTGTTAAGTTATTGAAGTTTTAGATATATTTTGGTTATGAGATTCTTGACAGATGTATGGTGTCTGAAGATATCCTCCCAGTTGGTAACCTGTGTTTTCACTTTTTTGGTAGAGGCGTTCGATGAACAAAAGTTTTTAATTTTTATGAAGTCCCATTTATTTATTTTGTTTTTTGCTGTTTGTGCTTTTGTTATTATATAATTCATTGCGAAAAGCTAGGCCCAACGGCATTGCCCCTGCATTTTCTTCCAAAAATTTTATGGTTTTAGTTTTCACATTTAGGCCCTTAATCCATTTTGAATTTGTGTTTGTGTATGGTGTAAGGCATGGATCCAGTTCCATTTTTCTGCATGTGGAAATCCAATTTTCCCAGCATCATTTATTGAAGAGACTCTTCCTTCCCCATCAAATGGACTTAGCACCCTTGTAAAATATCAGTTGACCATAATGTGTGGGTTTATTTCTGGACTCTCAATTCTATTCTATTAGTCTATGTGTCTATTGCTATACCAGTACCAGGCTGTTTGGATTACCGTAGCTGTATAGTATGTTTTAAAATTGGGAAGTGTGAGTCTTCCTACTTTGTTCTTCTCTTTTAAGTGTTTTCACTATACAGGCCCTCTTGCTATTCCATATAAAGTTGAGGGTTTTTCTATTTCTGTAAAGAAGGCTTTTGGAATTTTGATTGGGATTGCACTGAATCTATAAATTGTTTTAGGTAGTACTGGCATCCTAATAATATTAAGTCTTCCAATCCATGAAAACAAAACATCTTTCCTTTTATTTAAGTCTTCTTTAATCTCTTTCAGCAATATTATATAGTTTTCATTGTATAAGTCCTTCACATCCTTGGTTAGATTTATTCCAGTATTTTATTCTCTTAAATGGCAATGTAAATAGAATTGTTTCCCTAATTTCCCTTTCAGATTTCTCATTGCTGGTATATAGAAACCCAACCGATTTTTGTTTGTTGATCTTGTACCCTGCAACTTTGCTAAATTCCTCTACTAGCTCCAGAAGTTTTCTTGTAGACTCTATGGGATTTTCTATATAGGATCATATCATCCACGAATGGAGATAATTTTACTTCTTTTCCAGTCCAGATGCCTTTTATTTCTTTTTCTTGTCTTATTGCTCTGGCTAGGATTTATAATACAATATTGAACAGAAGTGGTGAGAGGGAGCACCCTTGTCTTGTTCCCAATTTCAAGTGGAAAGCTCAGTCTTTCTCCATTAAGTATAATGTTGGCTGTGGCTTTTCATATATGCCCTGAATCATATTGAGGAATTTCCCTTCTATTTCAATCTTCTTTAGGGTTTTCACCAAGAAAGGGTGTTGGATTTTATCAAATGCTTTTTCTGCATCCATAGAGATGATCACGTGGTTCTTTTCCTTTGTTCTATTGATGCAGTATGATTGATTTCCTAATGTTGAACCATCCCTGCATTCCTGCAATAAATCCCACTTCGTCACGGTGTATGATTCTTCTAACATGCTGTTGGATTCTGTTCGCTTATAATTTGTTGAGGATTTTTGCATCTATATTCATAAGAGATTCTGGCTTGTAGTTTTCTTTTGTTTGTGGTCTCTTTGTATGGTTTGGATATCAGAGTTACGTTTGTTTCACAGAATGAATTAGGGAGTATTCCTTCCTTCTCCATCTTTTGGAAGAGGTTAAACGGTATTGGTGTCAACTCTTCTCTAAATGTTTGGTAGAATTCCCCAATGAAGCTATCTGGTGCAGGACCTTTTTTTTTTTTTTGCTGTTGTTGGGAGGTTTCTGATCACTGATTCAATCTCTTCACTTGTTATGGGTCTGTTGAGACTTTCTATTTCCTCTTGAGTCAGTGTGGGTAGGCTGTGTGCTTCTAAGAATGTGTCCGTTTCATCTAGGTTATCCAGTTTGTTGCCATGCAGTGGTTCATAATATTCTGTCATAATTCTCTTTACTTCTATTGGTTCAGTTGTGATGCCCCCTCTTTCATTTTTTATTTTGGTTATTTGCGTATTTTTCTCTTCTTCTCTGTTAGTCTAGCTAATGGTCTGTCAATTTTATTGATCTTTTCAAAGAACCAACTTCTGGTTTTATTGATTCTATTGTTTTTCTGGTTTTGATTTTATTTATTTCTACTCTGATTTTTGTTATTTCCTTTCTTCTGGTAGGTTTAGGCTTAGTTTGCTCTTCGCTCCATAGAGTTTTCTTGGCTGTAATCTTTATGGAGGCAGATTCCCAGGTCTTTTCTTCTGTGGTGCCACTGGGTGGGCTCGAATTGTCAACCTTTTGGTTACCAGCAGAGTGCAATACATTTGCACCACCCAGGGACCTTATATTTATATATATTTTACTGGTTCTATTTCTCCAGACAACCTTAAGGTGGGCTGACTTGGAGCACCCACCAAGAGCAAACCTCACACAATGGACTTGGGTCAGGAATTCTGAGCTTAATACCACGTTATACCTGGCTTTTGCACCAAACTCTAGACCTCTTCTACAGTAGGTCAGGGAAGGACACTGGCAAAAAGATTGAGAAGGAACATGGGAAGTGGCCTAAAGGTGGGCCCGCAAGTTTGAAAGCTATACAGAGCAAGGTGAAAGGAGAAGCTCTCTGCAAGGGTTTTCATCCTTTCAGCATTCAAACAAAATCTTGCACCCCAGGTACCGAGAACCCAGTTCTGGACCCTGGGACTATATTACTAGAATGCAGAGAGCCCAATCTGCTCCAGGATGCCTCCTTAACTAAGCTCAATGTAACAAACCCTGCCTCTGCACACTCCTCAGGATGGGATCCTGTGGAGTAAACTAAGCTGGGAAGCACCAGCCACTGGACTGGGGGTGGAAGCAAAGGGCTTCTGTTCATACCGAGACGGGGGCTTCGCTGCTCCCTGTAGAAGTCAGTGTACTGTTGGTGATGGATTTCTTGGGCAGCTGTGGACTGGCATCCGGCTTGGTCTCTATGCTGCTTTTAGACGAGCTGTCATTCACTTCATTCTCTTCTATGGGGATCTCCTCACAGTAGCTGAGGATTAGGCACAGTGATCAGAGAGAAGACACCAGTGAGCTCACATTAACCTCAGTGGTCAAAATCACCAGCTATTCTAAGAAACTCAGACCTGTCTACTTATCCAAAACTATGGGCTTTCCTGGTTCTTTGCTCTGTATATGATTTTCCTCTTACCAAAAACTTCTCCTTTCTCCTTGCTCCCCTGAAATCTCCTTCCCACATACCACTTTCCTGCCCACATAAAATTTCCAGCTCCAAACTCACTTTTCCTAAGCACCCTCCTTAGATTTATCCATACGCCTAAATATGCCCCATTATACCATACCAGTTACCATCAAGTCAATTCTGACTCATGGAGACCCCATGTGTGCAGAGTAGAACTGCACTCCTCAGGGTTTTCAAGGCTATGACCTTTTGGAAGCAGATCCCCAGGCCTGTCTTCTGAGGCACCTCTGGGTGGGTTTGAACCGCCAACTTTTTGATCATAGTTGAATGCTTAACCCAGGGACTCCTTACCATTGTTAACTATTTTACCCACTGGTACCCATTCCAACCTGACCATTTGAATCCGATATCTGGGCTCTGAGCCTACAGTCTATATCCCACATGATGACTAGGACAGCACTCTGAACACTAAGTGCTCTGTTGGTGGTACTGCCCAAATTCTGAATCATAATTAGTTAACTTCTCTACATTGTACACCTCAGGGTAAACCCTCCTCAGACGAAGGTGCACCTCAGGAATGCCACTGTAGCCTCCCGCAAGGAAACATCATCATCCTTATCATCAGTGTCATTATCATCATCAACATCTGACTTGTATTCTACTATACTCTGCCATCACATATTACACCTCATCTGGATCCACGACAATTCTATGTAAATCATTAGGTGTACTTTAGAGATAATCAAATTGAGACTCACAGAGATTAGGTGATACCACTGTTAAGTATCAGAATTAGTACTGGAGCCCAGATCTATGTAGTACACAGTCAGTGCTCTTTATTTGCTTTCTATTGCTCTATGCTTCTCATACTACTGCCAAGGCTCCAGGATAGTAAACTCTCTTAGTGTTCTTCCTACCTCGCTGGATGTTTTTTCATGACCTCCTCTGCTGATCCTTCCTTGCATTGGAGTGCCCATGCCCAGATCTTGGACTTCTGGTTATATTCACTTAGTCACTTGGAGATTTCAGCCAATCTCATGGCTATTCACTAATAACTAACATGTTTATGTCTCTAGCCCAGACTTCTCCCTTGTATTCCATATTCTTACACCCAACTGCTTATTTGACATTTCCACTTGGCTGTCTAACAGTCATGTCCATCTGAACATGCCTAAAACCAAGCTCCTGATCCTCCCCTAAAACCTGCTCTGACTATATTGTCCTTCTCAGCTTGGAACAACTTCATCCTTCCAGATGGCGAAACCAAAAACTTAAAGTCATACTTGCTTCCTTTCTTTCTCTCATGTCCTACACATCTGATCCATCAGCAAACCCTTCAAAATATTTCTGATTCCGTCTTCAAAGTATTCAGAAACAGACCACTTTTCATCATTTCTACTGCTACCCTTGCGGTCCAAACCATCGTCATCTCTCATCTAAATTAACTAAGTAATTCAACAGCCTCTTAATCGGTCTCCTTGCTTCTGTCTTTGTTCCCCTTCAGTCTATTTTCAACACAGAAGCCAAAGAGATCCTGTTAAAATGTTAAATCAGACCTTATCAATTATCTGTTCAAAAGCTTCCCTTGGCTTCTCATCTCACTCTGAATAAAAGTCAATCATCACTTTGGCCAAAAGACCCTCAGAATCTGGCCCCACCACCCCCTGACCTCATCCCCTATCCTCTTCTCCTTGTTCACTCTGCCCAGTCACACTGGTCTGCCCACTCTTCCCTGGCATGCTCTCCCCTCAGATATCCCCATGATTCACTTCCTCTGGGTCTTTACTTAGATGTCACCATCCCACTGGGGACTTCAATGCCATCCTACCTTCTCCTCAGGGGCCCCTCATCTGAGAGGACTCCCAATTCCCCATGCAACCTACTCTCAGCTCACCCCATCGTGTTGAAGTCATCATCAGGGGGCACATAGTCCTCATCATCACTGGTCAGGCCCAACTCATTCCCATAGCACTGGTGAACAAAGTGCCAGAGCTCCTTGGGGCACAGAGGCTGTGGGGAGAAAACAGGTGACTCAGATCATTCCTCTTTCAGGTCCCCATCTCTATGCAGAGGCACTGAGCTCAACTTGCCTCTCCGTAACTGAACCATGAGGAGAGCAGCAGCCTCCCTGACAACGTCTTCCACCTTCTTCCTCCTCTCAGGGATCTCAGCAAAGATCCATACCTCCAGGTTGAAGACTGGTTTTAGCAAGGCCACGAACTTGGTCATTCCTTGCGTGTGCCTTCAACTAAGTTTGCAGAATGGGACCAACTGTCCTCTTGAGGATGGTAACTACTCCATCTTTTGTGCCTATTGATGAGGTCTAGCATTATGGTATAAACCAATGTTACCTGGGGTAGAATACAAAAGCACTGAGCTTCTCATTTGCACCGCAGAAGGTGAAGGTCTCCTGAGCTAGTCTCCCACCCGCCACAGAAATCTTCTATACGGGATGGTGGCTACGAGGCCCTGGCCCTACTGGGTCACTTCCAAGAATGAGGTTGGACCTCAAAGATAGCCCATTCCATTGCCAGAGGGTTCCTGTGGTTAGAAAGAGTCCCACATTCTCATTGTTTAAGGGGCCTGAAAAGTCATCTCATCCAACCCTCTCTCTGCTATCTGAAAGCTTTCTTTTTTATTCTCAAGCAGAATCAGTTTACCTGAAGTTCTACTCATTAGTTCTAGTTTTTCCTAATTGCCCTGAGTGTCTACATACAACAACAAAATCCCATTGCCGTCAAGTCGATTCTGACTCATAGTGACCCTATAGGACAGAGGAGAACTGCACCATAGGGTTTCCAAGGAGCAGCTGGTGGATTCAAACTGCCGACCTTTTGGTTAGCAGCTGAGCTCTTAACCACTGAGACACCAGAGCGCCATGGCCTCCATAAAAGCTCTGTGCTGCATTCCTACCGGGATTGAGTTCTCCAGGGACTCAGAGTTTTTGGAGAGAGATAAACATCAGAGGTAGGGGCTACAAGTAAGTCCTAGGTTGGGAGGAAAGGGGAAGGTGATAGGGATCAGCATGTGAAAAGAGGGCAGGAACATTAAGAAAAACAGGTGCAGTCAATATGTTAAAAAACAAAACAAACTTGAAGAATATTTGCCACCAGGAGTTTTCATAAAGAATCTAGGAGCTCCCTGATTCCATTCTTTCAAGATATGGCTAAAGAAATAGGCAGCTGGGGAGATGCCATGAGCCAGAGTTCTGCTTCTCCAACTTAGGAGAACTGCCCAGAATGGCATAGTCAGGACCCATCTCTGGGCTGGCAGGGCTTGGGGTGGGAGCTCTCTGAATTGGCCCTCACAGAACCAGAGGGTGGCACCTCTGTCTCCTTCATCTAGACCTCTCCACTCCCATCTCTGGACTCTATGTACACCATCAACCCTTCCTGGGACACATTTGCCTCTCTGCTAAACTATGTCCTACCCTTCTTTAAAGTCACCTTATCTATGTGGCCATCCCTGACCTGACCACCTGGCCCAGCTTGCCTGACCATCGTCGGGACAAGCACAGTTAGCAGACCCTGTTCATCATCAGGCAGAATTCTTACAGCTCTTCTGTGAGCCATCTGCCAACCATACACATGACCCCATGTCTTACTGAGAAATGAAAATAGGTAGGGACTGAAAATTCAAACCTGCCAGTGGAGACTCAAAGACATTATCATTTTACCATTCTTGATAGCTAATAAAGGCAGAGGATCTCAAATACGTTATCAGGATTTGTAACAGGGCTATAGCCTCTCAGATTAGAAGAAACTCTAAATAATATATCTACTCAATTTTCTTTAGAGAGTAATGAATTTGGGCAAGAGTCCAGGCAGATTCATGCATATGTTTATATACATACATGTCATATCATGTATACATATATGCTTTCTTATGTCTCTTTCTCTGGACCAGAGATTGTTCTCCAAAACTCCAACTCCACCTGAGTAGAAGTTCTCTCAGGGCAGAGACCATGACACTGCCCTCCTCTGTGTCTCCTCACAGAGTTCTTCAAACACTTGAGTCGTCAGTTGGTGGCAGTGAAGTGCCTGAGAGGATGAGTACCTTACTCTTGTCAGCATTGAGACCATTCACATGACAGGGTATGCCACTTTCAGGGCTCAGGGCAATACTACCAGTGTGAAAAGCAGTGACTCACAGCAAGTCTGGGGGATTTTCAGTACCACGAAGAGACATGGGTGTCTTTGGCAGTGGCCAGTACCACAGTGAAAACACCTCTCTCCATGGGGTCCACCCACAGAGAGAAAGAACATTCTTGGTGGATGTACATGCTGAATATGAAGGAAGTAGCTGGGTAGAACTTGCCTTTTCAAGGAGAGCATTCTGCCAGAGTCGGAACATCATCATATATGTCCTATCTCGGGCTCCAAATGAAGTGAAAAAGTGCTAGATTGGAAGAGAAAATGATTAAGAAATGCCTGTTCAGACTTTCAATATAATGAATGGAGACACAATGCACCTTCCTTTAAGAAAACTTACTGATTTCATCCCAAAATACTACTAATTCTCAGTTATCCGTGATCATGGCATAGGGACTTTAGGAAGAGGGGTAAGCACAATGAAAGACTAAGTAACTGGGAATTCCAAGTTCCCACTGTAGCCAAATCCTTTAATTATCACCCAAGCTTTCCTTAGGTCTTCTCTCTCTGGTTTGAAATTTTCATCTCCATAAAAAATTTCCTACTATTTACCGGAACTTGGAATTCAACTAATACTTGAGTATTAGTAGGTGCCAGGCACTAGTCTAAGTATCTGAGGGAGCATCAGCAAACAAAACAGAAAGAGATCCCTGCCCCTGTGCAGCTTACACATTAGTAGGGTAGGCACCCCCGTATCATACAGGAAGGTGACAGAAACCAAGGTTTTACTGAAGACATACAAGGTGCTCCATAAATGCTACTTCATTTAAACCACACAAAAGCCTTGGAAAGAAAACATAATTGCTAACAAGTAATACAGAAAAATAGAGACAAGGTGCAGCATCCTGTATAATCAGAAAGCTGGTGAGTGCCAGAGCCAGAATTGAACCTTCTGACCCCAAAGCCACTGAACTGCCCAAATCCAAGGGAACTGTACACCTTCTCTTCAGCAGAAACCCAGTTCACACCTAGCCCTAACTCTATTGATCTTCAGGTTCTGGTTAAAGGTCAAAGGTTACAGTATTTTCTATGCCCTAAAATGTATCTAACAAATTCTGGACAATCACATCCTATCAGACTCCTCTGATTACCTCCTTAAGAGATCACCTGCTAGGCTCATACATAATCATAACCACTTGCACTGGTATAGCACTTTACAATTTAGTGTTTTTAAATATATGATGGCATTTCAAGACTCTGTTAAATAGGTCTTGCTGGCTCCATTTCACACATGAGAAAACTGAGGCTCAGAGAAGTTACATAACATGTCTACTGTCACAAGACTTCAGTTCAGGTGTTCTGGCTCCAAGTTCAATGTTCTGCCCCTCCACCCGCGCCACTGCTCAGACTCCAATTGCCCCGCCCACCCTGGAGATGCTTCCTGCAATCTGCAACCCCCCAGTTCTAACAGCCACCATTACTGCAATTTGAGGGCAGAAATAAGAGAATAAGGGGAGTGGGGAGAGTGGAGAGCTCAGGACTGGACTCCACTTACCTTTTCCGAGTCAGTGCAAACCTGGATGGCGTTGGGAATGAGGCGAGCTGTTTTTTCTTTAGTCATGGAGCAGATGTCTTTCAAACGGACTGTCAACTGGCATCCCCACCAGGATACAGAATGCACAACAAGCAAGAGGAAGCATTGCAGTCAGGCAAAGAGTGTTCTCATGGTACCAGCTCAGACAGAGGAAATCAGATCACAGCTCACATATTTCTAAACCTAGAAGGAACCTCCTAAAGCAGAAATCATCTGGTTTAGCCCCTCATTTCATGGAGGCCACACAACTAGGTAGTAACTGAGCCTCATCTAGAGCCCAAGGATAGCTTGATTCTTGGTCCAGAGTGCGTTCCCATTTCTACACAATTTACTAAATTTGGAAAGGCCCCATCATTTGTCATGTAAACAATTGTGAAACATTGGGCTGGATAGGACCATAAAAGTCTAGTTTATCTTTCTCTCACCTTATTTTATAAGATGAGGAAACAGAGGCAAAGAAAGAATAATGGATTAACCTAACATCATACAGCTAATGAGCTGAAGATCTCAGAAAGTGTACAAGCCATTTCTTCTGAGACCCAAGGCCAAGGCTCTCTTTACTCTGCTATGCTGCCTTCTGCAGTGATCCATGCCAAGTATTTACTGTCTTTCCCAAAAGCAAATGCTCTTAACATTCTCTTCCACACCAAAGAGGAAGGGAGAAGAAGGCCTGGTAGAGGAGATCCCATTATTGGGACTCAGAATTGGGTATCCTTGAAGACTCAGGCGCATGTTTTTGTTAGTCATGCGAAGGCTTTAGGTAGAGCACTGAGTCAGCAAAAGGGAGAAAGTGGGGCAGCTTGCTCAGCCATGGTCAAGGGATAGCCCAAGGAGCAAGCCTACATCTTTACCAGAGTTTCCCAGCGGAAGATGTTGCTGTAGAAGCAGATCCAATTTTCAGAGAGGTAGAGTCGGCCCTGAAGAAGAATGTCTCTTTGGAGAGCACATGAGTAATCTGTGGTTGGATGGAGGACAGGGGAGCTCAGAGGCAGGAAACACGTTCAGCAAACCTTTGCATACTAGGCAGGTCACCCCTCCCAACAGCACCGGAGGACCCAACAGCCCACCACCACCAAGGATGGCCCTAGCATCTCAACAACAGGAACATGAAGGATGTAATATATGCTGTGAATGAATGAAAGTATGAATGATATAGCAGAGGAGGGGGCCAGAAAGTAAGAGGTAGAAAAGGCCAATGAAATTCACCTAGCCCCCTGCCATCTCTAGTTACTCCCAATCCCTTGGATTCCTTGGCCGTCTGCAGAGGTAAGAGTGCCATGACTCCTTCCAGGTAGGATCTAGAGGCTGTCACAGACTTGAGGCCCAGCCCTGAGCCCCAACTGCTAGGGTCAGTGATCCGGACTTCCCCTCTCCCTGTTCCCAGATGGACAAGTTGGCTCCAAGCCAGCTTCTTTCTCTAGATAGAAGCAGCCCGAGCGTTCTCCCTGGGACTCCCTGCTCCCACTGAGGTCACCAAGCTCACCAACAATGAGGCGCTCCGTGTCTGGAAGTTGCTTAAAGAGCTTTCTGAAGTCTTCATTTCTCTGCTTGTAAGTGGGGCTTAAAACCTGCAAGACAATGGCCAAGGTTAGCAGGATGTACCCAGCTTCTGTGGGGTTAGAGAGGAAGGCGTGTGCTGGAGGATCAGTTGCTTGTGTGTTAGACAGACAAAGATGAGGCTCTACTATGCCACACATGCTGGAAGGCCGGGGTAGGCAAAGGGGAACTGGTACAGAACAACGGAGCAGACAGAACTTGACAATGCAAACGGCTTTATATTCACTGTTCATCAGTGAGAAGAAGTCAAACCTACTAATCCAGGGCCCACAGTACATCCTAAGAAAAGAAAGGAAGAACACCTCTAGGGAGCATCATGGGACCCACATGCCAGCTACTGCTCTTCTGACTTCTGCCAGAAGGCAGAACCACTCAGACATGAATCAGCTGTTCAAGGGGGCTTCCCCAGCCCCCTAGCAAGACCAGCATAGTATGGTGCCCAGTGCACCTCTCAGAAAAAGTCATTGCTGTGACTACAAAGTGAGCAACTGGCTGGCTGTGTGTGACAGAAAAGAAACAGCTAACACATAAAACCAATGCCAGAATAAACACATCTGCTGAAAACTTAAACCTCATCTTGCACACTGGAGGCACCTAACCTTCATTCCTTCCCCTCATCCTGACAAGATTATCTAAACCCAACCCTTACGTTATCAATGAGGAAACTAAGGCCAGCAAGAGGTCACCTGCCTGAGGTAACCCAGCTGGTCAATGGCACAGCTGGAGCCTGAATCCAGACCTCTGGATTCTTGGTCCTGTGCTCACCTCCTACTGCTGCCTACTGTACCAGAGGCCCGCTCTGCCCACCTAACTTCTTATGGGTGCCTCAGTGCAAATTCTTATGCCCATAAGCTGCCTTAGCAAATCCTTCTTGGAAATTTCATGAACAAGTTGAATAAATAGGAATCATGCCCTTTCAGAGCTTACCAAAAAAAATAAAAATAAAAATTGTTCCCCATAGATGAAGGGCACCCAAGGGTGATAAATAAAAACAAGTGCAGTACTCAGGAAGAGCCATGCATCACACCACACTTGGACAATCTGTTAACCCACTTATGCATGGACGATGCCGCTGACCCTCCACCAGGAGTGCATGCATGGCTGTCCCAGCGATGGTGATGGACAGTTCTTGGCCATTTACACTTTCTTATCCTCTCCCCTGGGTATCCATGGGCATAGAACTGTGCTGACACTGGAATGAGCTTTGGACTTTTCATTTTTGCCTTTTCGGCAAAGCTCCCTGTCCCACAAGGAAGCAGAGGCTGTAGCCTTGACCGCATTATTAGCACACTGACCACCTGAGCTAAGTGGCCCAATGGTTTTTGTACTATAGGAAATAGAAGTCTTTCAGGAAGTTGCTGTTGCTGTTAGTTGCCATCAAGTTGATTCTGACTCAGGGTGACCCCATGTATTACAGAATAGAACTACTCCATAGGGTTTTCTTGGCTGTAATCTTAACAAAAGCAGACCTCCAGACCTTTCCTTCTGTGGTGCCGCTGGGTGGGTTTGAACCGCCAACCATTAGGTTAGCAGTCGGGTGCAAACCATTCGTGCCATCTGGGAACATTTTCAGGAGGATGTTGCTGTTTCGACTCATAGCAACCCCATGTGACAGAGTAGAACTGCTCCATAGGGTTTTCTAGGCTGTTACCTTTATGGGAGCGGACTGCCAAGTCTTTCTACCCCTAAGCCACAGTGGGTTCAAACTGCCAACCTTTTGGTTAGCAGTCAAGTGCTTAACCATTGTACCACTAGGGCTCCTTTCCAGAAGTTAGCGGGGAGAAAAAGGCATGACTTTAGTTTGGGAAGGTTTTCCAGAAGAGGGAGAGATGATAGCACTTTCAGCCATTTTGTCTATGGTTAATTTGAATTTTAACTTTTGTTCTTGGCTTATTTATAAAATAAGTTGCACACGCAATAGTGGGTTACCTTCCCAAATGCTGTATTGTCATAGAGCCCAAACCTCAAAAATCACCGGACATTGGGAGTGAATACCTGACTGCCAGCCTACACCATGACAGCCATGGCTGGAAAAGACCTCAGGATACAATGTTTCTTTGGCTCCTATGTTAGTTTCAAACTGGTACTGAGATATCCAATCTAGATGGCCCTCTGGCCTCTAAGAACAAGACACCTATACACTGAATTCCCTTAATGGTCATCAGTAAGTTCTTAATCACGTCTCACTGACTTTCTAGAGCTAACATGTAACGAGTATGTAGCACACACTGTCATAACTCCTTCATATATACCATTTCATTTGATCACAGGGCTATTTTTATTATCTCATTTAACACATGAGGAAACTGAGGCACAGAGTGGTTAAGCAACTTGCCCAAGGTACATGGATGCTGAGTGGGAGAGTGGAATATGAACCAAGGTGTCTGGCTCAGAGCTCCTGGTCTTTCCTCCATGTTGTCTCAAGGGTAGTAACTGCTCACAGTACTTGTGCCAAGAGGGAAACAACGTGGATGCCCCAGAAGAGCACCCTCTTGGGTCTGAGATGTTCACCTGCTTTGGGGGCCCCACTAGCCTTCCATGCCCCTAGTGAGTCTTTTTATTTATAAAGTTCCAATATCAGCCTAAGGACCAGCCTACCAGGTGGCTCCAAATTCCCTTCAGGTAAAACCAGCCATCAGGAAGCCAATTACCTGAAGCCTAGAAGTCCTCCTATTTCTAATTTTCTTTCCATGTTGGCCTCTCACCCTTGCTTCTCTCATATCCAATTAACAACTAACTCAGACATCTACAGAGGTGTAGGTTCAGGGGGGTCTAGCCATATTACCAAACTGCAGGCAAATCAAGGGGGCAAGTCGTCTCCTCTCCAAGCTGTCACTGTGAGGGGAGAGGATAGGGATCCAGCCCTGGCCTCTGGTGTCAGCTAGTCTTTACAGTGGCAGAGAATCCTTAATTCAGGTTTGCAAATAAATACTAGCCTGCCAATGTGGATTACAGGCATGCCTTTCCCTACCAGAGAGTATAAGGGACAGAGACACATTAGATGGGCACGCTCGCGCCTACCAACACACACCCTTCTTGATGCAAGAGACCATGAGCCGTCTGGGCCTTCTACTCCCGTGCTCTGAAAGCATCTCCTCCAGATATGAGGTATGGCTCACCTATTTTAAGTTAAAATGGCCAAGGAATTTGGTTCAAGGATTGTCAAATCTTGGACTCTTGGTTGGCAGAGCAAAGTGGAGAATGACAAGAGTACAACAGAGTGTCACACAGACACAGAGAAATGAGGTTGCACACTCACGGCTGGGATTTCTTCAGATCCACACCAGCAACAGTGATCCGTACTAGCAGGTAAGTCGGAAAACTTCTTCAAGTACCACCACGGGGACTGACTTTCCTGCTCCAGCAGGAGGCTCCAGAGGACCCCAGATTCCATCAAAGATTCCATAGCTCTCCGAGGCTTCCCCACCCAATGAAGCTAGTGCCTTGATACCAGATCCTCTACTGTCCCCGCAGGATAAAAGAAATTAGTCTCACTGGACTGAATACAAGGTGGCCTCTGGCTTCTAGGCAGAGGGTGTGTGGTGCTCCCGCCCGACCTCTTTTCCTCTCCCAGAGCTTTGTTCTCAGCTCAAACACTCAGGAGTGAGAGGGTGCAGTCAGCATGGTTCACAGGGCAAGCTGGCTGGCTCATTCCCCATGCCAGGTTCTGCTTCATCCCACTCGGCTCCCTGACAGTATGCCTGTCTCCAGGCTGAAGGTACCCCAGGAGGCGTGGTGTGGCACCTCCTCCTGGTCTGTGCAGACTCACTCCTGGGGCCCAGCTGAAGGCCAGAGGACGCAGATGACAAGGCAGGTGCACAGGGCTGGCTGAGGGCTCCAAACAGGAGGCCCCAGGTGAACACAGACTCCAAGCAGGGAGATGACCCCACAGCAGGGTCCAGAGGTCTTTCCCCACCAGTTACTCACCATGAAGCAGAGGGACTCACAGTTTGTCTAAAGCCCCAGCTCCCCAGTCCTGACCTCTCCCACAGAGTGGCAACCTCTTACCCTGGGTGGGTACTGGCAGCCATGACTCACACCACGGGCTGTGGCCACAGGACCTGCTGTCACCCTCCACACGCTCGTCCGTGCCCGTCCTCCCAGACCGTGCTCCTCTCCTCCTCTCGGGCTGACCAGCAAACAACTTCTTTTGTTAGTCACCCGTGACAGGAGGGAGAGAGGCAGGGCGGGTGGGCAGGCAGGGCCAGGGCCCTACACATGCTTTAAGTTATAGGATCTGGGTGATGGTCCTGGCCAGCGTCCTCCAGTAACCCCCAGTCCAGCCTGCTCCACTCCCTAGCAGATATTTCCTGCAATGGGAAGTTATTGGCCAGAGCTCAAAGTGGGGGAGGGGGAGGGGGAGGGACAGGTGCCAGGGCACTGCTGTGATGATGAAATCTGAAATTTGAGACTCAACCAGAATGTCTTTGGAGACATAATCTCCCCTCACTGACTCGTCCATCCACTGGCCTCCTGAGACTTGGGAGTTTGTCACCTGTCATTTCAGACGTGCAGGTGGTGCTGAAGTTGTGAGACAGTCTGGAGAAGCTGAGGTCCACAGCTTCAGGGTCATCTGAGGCACTTCTTCCCTTTCCAGGGGGCCTGTCCTACACCTCCAGCACAAGAAGGAGGGGCATCGAGGCCAAGAGGATTCCCTGACAGCTGCTCAGGGCTTGAGGGCAAAGCAGCAATGCAATGAGCAGAGAACTTGGCCTCAGCCAAAAGGAGACTGCCAGCTGCAGGGAAGCAGAGCTCTCAGGGAAAGAAATGGGGGCATGGCCAATGGGGGCAAGACAAGCTCCAGACAAAGAAGCTCAGGACAGGGGCTGGAAAGATTTGGATTCCCAAGCTGCTCTTAGCACTGATCCCCAGGAAAAGTCAGAGCCTTGTAACCAAGAGGGCACCTCCCTCACCTGCCCAGCTGTGCCCACCTCAGGGATGAAGGGTGCCTTGTCCTCAGAGTCTCAGTAACTCAGTTCAGCAGCACTCAAACTTCCATCCATTTAAACAT